TTGAATTAACACATTTTGATTTATCCTATTATCTTTAGCACGTTCTTTATTTGTATTCCACATTTCTGTCAGTGCAACGCAGCAAAAGGCATCAAAAAAGCAGTCGCCAGTGTCGCCAATCGTCGTCGTCGCCGCTCCTCCTTTCGCCTTTCTTCTGACGACGGTCCTCCGGATTCTGCTGCTGCTCGCACTTTTGGCTAAGCCATCGCTGCCGTTTGATGCGGCACCCACACATGTGCGAATACATAGAATCACGGCCTAAACAACGATGGAGGTTTGGGGGTGTTCCTCCTCCTTCTGCCCGTCCAGCCATCTCGACCACCCGGCCACCCAACTCCGCAATATCTAGCTGCTAGCTGCTTGCTGCTTGCTGCTGTTCCGAGGCTGGAGCTCCGGCCATTGTATGCATGCATATTAAATTCAATCGAATGTATTCTCTCCACTCGATCCACTCTCCACCTCCAGCTCCAGCTCCACCTCCACCTCCACTCCCGCCTCGTCGAACTCCTCCGATGGCTGCGTTCCTTTTTTCCCGGCGCTCCACTCGGCGTATACGTAACGATACCGGAGCGATACCGAGCCGAACGAAAGCAAACGTTACGTATCCGTCGCACATTCGTTAGGAATAGGAATAGGCGGAGTTATCAACGTTTTCAAGTTATAATAAAAATGCAACACATTTTACAGACATGCCACTATGTATACGATGTGTGATTGTGAGCGCGCGCTTGTGTGTGTCTGTGTGTGTGTGAGTGGTGTGCATACATACATATCTCGGTATCCTTCCATTTCGCCCCACACTTTTCATGGTCTGTGCTTTGGCTCTGGCTACTTTCCATAGATTTTTTCCTTCGTTATTGGTTTCGAGTGGCGCAACATATTCTTTTTCTTTTTTTTTGTCATTCTGCATGTTGTATATACAACAGACTTGGTTTTGTTTTTTTTTCCATTTTTATTCAACTCGTTTTTTGTTGTTTTTGTAGCGATTTTTATTATTTTTCAATGCTCAAAACTCGACGTCGCATAAAACTTGTGTTTTTGCTGCTGCTGCTGCTCCTGCAGGATCCTCTTGCCCCCTTTAACTCCTTTACCCCCTCCTATGGAGCGACGGACACTGCTCGTTACAGAGTTTCCATTTCTCGCTGAGAGCGAGACATTTTGCTAATGCATTGATTAAAATTGAATTTTTAATTAAAATATTGTAGCTGGAAGGGGGCACTCCGGGAGCTCCGAGTGTTTGTGCACATAAGTTTTTGTTTGATTTGTGCATTTGTATTTTTTTGCCATCCCTTTTTCTTTTTTTTGCATTGAGCAGCTCAGCGGATTAGTTTAAAGCTCGGGAAGAGCAAGTTTAATTGCTACAATTAAGGAGAGCAGGGAAGATTTATGCACCGCCTTTCACTTTCGATCTGCCATCTCAGGCCCAATAAATCACAAGCAATTATGCAAGCCAAGCATCCTCAAGGAATTTTCACACTTTCACACGTCGCCACAAAGCCAAGTCGGCAATCCCAGGCGTGCCATCTCCAGACTTCGATTCCTATTCCTATTCCTAGTTGGAATCCGATTCCTATGTCCCCTCTGTCCAGAGTCGATTGTCCATTGTGCGGTGACCAGAAAGCCACAAGTGCATTATACCAGCATAAATCTCTCGATTGCTTTCTTATGCAGTTCCGAGGAAAGTGCATGTTTACACAAAATATTTTCTTTGCATTTATTCGGCCTGAAAAATGTTGTTGTTCTCCGTAGGCCGAGGGACGCACACGCCAGAAGGGCGGAAGGTGGACAATGGACAGCATAAGTGAGCTAATAAATGTACGGAAAATTCGACAGCAAACGTTTACTTAAGCAAACGGCAAATGAGAAGGCCAAGGTGCCAAGGGGGAAAGGAAGCTGAGACGTTCAACAGGAGTGAATGAATAAGTGCTTCTACACTTTGGAAAATATAACAGAAAATAATATCCAAATAAATAATTTTCAAAGTAAAATTCTATGAAATAAATATATTAGATACAAAATACCTATCACCATAGATTTTATTGGTGTATTCAAATGTTAGTTAATGGATGGGTTATCTAAATGAATTTATATCCATTTCAGATCATGTAAAACAATTCAAGTTACTTGTAAAGAAAGGATTGTAAGGCATTTCCACAATTATTTGATATTTGACTTTAATAATTATTTGACTTTTTCGCTGTGCATTTGTATAAGCATTATATTTGTTTCTTGTGTGTGAGTGGTGTCAAGCCACAAACACCTTTGCGTAAAATAAAGCAATCAAGCAAATAATGTTGCCACATTACACTATCAACAGCTTCCTGCTTCCTTGACACAAACACACTCTCACACGCACACACATGTGCATTCAAGGAGCAGGGGAAAGGATGAGGAGAAAGTAGCCACTCACAAGCTGGGGAAATTCTTTAATGGCTCACACAGACGCACACACTCAGGCATTCAGGACAAAATGGTTGTGCAGACTAAAGTAAAATTGAAACAACCTTGAGGAATGCCGGAGCAAACACACACATACACACACACTCACTCCAGCAAACACCCTCACACACAGACAGAGATGCAGACTGAGAGGCAAAAGTGTCTGGCAAAATGTCTCGACTCCTGAATTCCCCCAAAGCCCCCGACTCCTTTTCCTGTCTCTGTGACCGACTCAGTTGAAGTCAAGGCTTTGAGCCAACGACGACAAGGTTGTCCTTGTTGAGCAGCAGGATAAGGAAGGAGTCACCAGCCCCTCAGCCAACCAGCCCCTCGTCCTGCTCCTTGTGCACTTTCGCTTTTGGCCAGGCCAAAACTGCACATGCTGCTGTGCCATATTTAACAAATTATCTGTAATTTCTCGAGAGCAGGCAACAGCAACTTGGGGCTCCCACTAAACTCAGCCCGACTCAACTCGACTCAACTCGACTCGACTCGGTTAAGCTCAGATGCATCTTGCCGCAGAGCGTGAGGCCGATTGCTGGGTCACAAGGATTTCCCTGCCATTAACCCATTGCTTGCCCAAAATATATAAGTGTCTTATAAGGAATAACTGACAAGCAAGTTAATATTGTTGAGCCCTATCTTTCATGATATTAAACGATCATTTTAAGTACAGTATTTACGTCTTAACCTCATTAATTGTATTGTTTATACAAAGCAAGTGAAGAAAAAAAAATATATATTTAGTTATAATAGTTTACTTATTGTTTTGTAAAGATTATAAAGGTTGTATGAGCAAGGATTTAAATGCCCTTTGGTTTCATCATTTTAACTACATAAAAACCCCTTCGAAGGCACAAGTTCCTTTCCCACTAAAATCTCTTAGCCAAATCCTGAGCCTCGGCGGGTTAAGGCGGCGCCAAACCACTTGTCAAGATGGCTAACGGCAGAGTGGCTGCTAACTGTTGCAGGGCGAGTGGTGTCAAGTGGGCAAGGGGGAAAGGGGAGGGGAAAGGGGGGCCAAAAGGAAAGGCAAGGCAGCCAACAACCGGCAAACCAACCAGCCAGGATTTTGGGCTACAAGCAGCCGCAAATGCTTAACTTCAGACACAACCAGTGGTGGGTACAAAGGGGAGAATCGGGACGATTACAAGGACGAGAACGACGACGACGACGACGATGAGGAGGAATAGAAGCAAGACAGACAGCAGGCGGCAACCACAGGCGAATTGCTGGCAAGGACGAAAGGCAGGACGAAGGCAGCAGCAGCAGCAGAAGCAGCAGCAGCTGCCGTGGCTGGAAGGAAGTTGTTTGTGGGTCGCAATTCAAGGCTGACCGAGAATGAGAACGAGAATGAGACCCAGACCCAGACCCAGACCCAGACCGAGGACGAGACTCGACCCTTTGGCACTCCTGTTGCTCCTCTGCATCCTCCTTTTGGCCCCCACCCAAAAGCCAATCCCCAATCCCAACCCCACCAACCGACCGACCAACCAACCACCAAGTGGGTTTGTGTGGGTGTCTCACAAGATGAAAGCCACTTGCCATTCAGGACCAGTCGAGCGGCTGCTTCCTCGTTGGCTTCCTCACACTCAAAGAAATTGTAAGCATTAAAATTAAAATTTAGTTATAAACTCAAGAGCAAAATAAAAAATATAAAATGTGTACCAAAAATCTAGCAAAGTTTCGGCGAAAAAGACTATTATTTCTTTCAAATGAAACTGTAATCATTTCTTCTTGATTTCTCTCAGTGTCGGCTTAGCTTGGTGGCCAAAGGGTGTCCAGAAACTGCTCCGGAATGACCTTGAGCATTACAACTGTTCGCCTGTCCCCGCTGCGGACAGTGTTTGGGCAGCCGGCCTCCTTGGGTCCCTCCTCTTTTGGAGCTTTGGCTTCTCCTATTTATCTGCAGTCTGCAGCTAAGGATGTTCAGGATGCTTCCGGGGGGGAGCGAAGGACCTCAGGAGGGTCCGAAGTCATGAGTCCTGCGAGCAGACCGAGTTTTGCATCAAGTGCAAAGTGATGTGTTAAGCTGTTAAGTGCCAAAGTAATTGTTTTCTTTCACCGACAACAGTGGCAGCCACAAAGGGCGGCAATGACGTCGCTTTCACTTGCCACTTGACCTTGAATTCGGTCTGTGTGTAAATGGGTGTGTGTGTGTGTGTGAGTTTTAGGGGGAAGAAGGCCGCATTGTTGTTTTCGTTCTGCCCCAAGTTGCACTTGCTTTCGAGGGGCATTAAGTGAATTATGTCTTCGGAATTGGGGCCGTTGGTTTTCGAGGAATTGCAATTGCCGAAAGGGGGTTAATTCAAAGGAACAGACCGAAAGTGCACAAAAACCCTTTCCTTTTCTTTTCCAAATTGGCTTTATCGTGTCCTATTTTGGGTAAAGAATTTGCATTTGTGTACAGCAATTATTTTTAGTAGTAAACGTTGAGAGTCCGAGCCAAATAAATGCTGACATGTTAATTTCTGTGAGTTAAAAAAAGACCAAATGGTATCCTTACTTTGTTTCCGGATCCTTCAACCATTAAATAAAACACCAAGGCAGACTGGTTCACATTTAGTTTTACAATTTGTTTTTATTTTCAGTTTATTGTTGTATAATTTACGGTTTAACTAAACTCAAGAATGCCTCTCGCATCTTTTGGGATAGATAATAATAATAATCGTAATAATAGGCATAATAATAATAATAGTTCACTCACAGAGTACGGACAATACGTATGCATATCTGACAGGCGAGTGTATCTTGTGCGATGGTATTGTATCTGTGTATCTGTGTGTCTGTGTGTTCGGGTGTGATTGTGTGGGTGATGTTTACATAAAATTAGCACAAATTTAATGTGATGCTGCCTGCGTTGTTTGCTCATTCGTTCATTTACAATACGATTACCATAGAAGAAGTGCTGCGAAGGGCTTTTTGGGGTAAGTCTAAGATTAAGTCGAAGCCTAAAGCTATGGAAATTTGTACATTATTTACAGTTACATTTGGAAATACCATTAATATAAGTATATGTATGTACGTGCGTTGGTATGCACCTCTATCTGTGTGTGTGTGGGTTTATGTATCTAAAGTGTTTGCATATATAACTATATATATGTATGTTTGTATATATATATAAAGTTGTAATTACCAGATTTGACAACATTCAGTGTGTTTTGTTTTTGTGAGCTATTCTAGGGTTAAGCTACATTTAAGAAATGCACAAGTCTCTAGTCGTAAATTTAATGGTTTACGGTTACGGTTATCGTTACTCCTATTTATTATTATTATTTTTCGCGTGGCAAAAAAGGCAATCAACGCAACGATTTCTCTCGAAAATAAATAAGACAAAGTACGAGATCCTATCCTTACAGGAAAGTTCCGAAGTATGTGTGTGTGCGTGTGTGTGTGTGTGTTTGTGTTTGTATTTGTGGGGGTTTCGGGTTGTGCTTTAATAATAGATTAATACTTTATACCTCCACGTTACGCTCTAAAACTAGCCTAGGCATAAAAACCAGTTAGCAACTTCAACTAAGCACTAAACACTAAAAACGTTGGGGTTCAAGTAGCAGTCCAAATATATTTTTTTTTGTGGTTCCTAGGGTGGCTTTTTATTCAGGCAAATATTTCTGAAGGGAAAGTAACCTTTGGATATTTAAAGTGGACAACATTTTTAAATATATTGCATGTTTCCCTTAACTAAAACATTGTTTTTTTAGGTAGCAAATTAGTTACTATTATTATTTTGTAGCTAAGAAATCATACTTAAAACAAACTCCTTCTTTATGGTTCCAAAATCATAACTACTTACTGTCATCCAAGGATTACTTTGCCCCCGTTTGATTTCACTTGCTGTTTGGGTTCTTAAAAATTGCCCCACCCCGCCACGCCCCTTGCCCCGCCCCTGCCCAGGATTCAATCCTCGTGCGGCAGTTCGGGGGCGTGCTGCTGCTCCAGCTTGATCTTCATGAGCGGCGACTCCCGGATGGAGCCACCACCTGCACCACCCGGTGGCGCGTAGGCAGCCGCCGCAGCGGCCGCATCGGGATTGGCGAAGAGCTCGCTCATATCCTGGCCGGGACCCGGGAAGAAGTCCTCGAAGCGCGGGCTCTTGTTCACCGACTTCTGGAGCAGGCCGTTCGCGATGGCCTCGAAGTCGATGCCAGCGGGCAGGCTCTCCAGGAAGCGCTTGTTGTAGGCGCTCGCCTGGTGCTTGGCGTAGTGGGCGGCGGAGTACGGCGAGGCGGCTCCGGGTCTTTGGCTGGCGTTCAGGGACTTGGCGCTGCCCGAACCAGAGCTCGATCCCCGCGACTGGCTGCCGTACTGGCGGGACAGCTCCCTTTCCCTTTCCCGCTCCCGATCCCGCTCCCTTTCGCGGGACAACTCGCGGGCGTAGGAGGCGGCGCTGTTGGGAGCAGAGCCGCCACTGCCACCGCCCGATCCCCGCGAGGGCATCACGTTCAGCCCGGGCAGACCCATCAGTCCGAGGGCACTGAGGTCGGGCAGGTTCTCCGAGCCCCGCCGCTCACCCTGCTGCTGCTGCTGCTGGTGTTTGGCAGCCGCCGCTGCCACGGCCGCCGCGGCGGATACTTGATCCTCGATCTCGGAGCGCTGCAAGTAGGCCGGCGACTTGTACATGTTCATCGACTGTCCGTGCGGCGACTGCTGCTGGTGGTGCGAGGGCTGCTGCTGGTGGTGCGACTGCTGCTGGTGGTGCTGCTGCTGTTGCTGCTGCTGCTGCTGCTGCGACAGGATCTGCCGGCGCAGGGTCTCCGTCATGGAGCTCAGCGGACTTCCCGCGTCCGGAGGAGCCAGCGAGGCGTTCTGGGCCGCCATCTTGGCCGCCGCTGCACTGTGGTAGCCATTCGATGTCGTTCCTCCTCCAATATAAGGCTGCAAAATGGAGAAAAAGAGGAGAAAGGGGGAAAGATATATGTTAAAATCAGATTGAATTAGATTCACTGAAATATCCCCATGATGTGCTTATTTAAAAGAAATAACAAATCAATTGGCACACTGTTTACACATAGAAACTAGACCTTGGCGCCTCTAAAATAATATAATTACAGTTTTGTTTACTCAATCCGATTTCCACCTGACTGAAATAAAATTAGTGCAGTCCATTACTCTGGCCAATGGGAAATGTTTATTATTATTTAGTTATGGGGAATAACATTAAATGGGCTTATAAAACGTGTTCCAGGGAAACCTGTTCCTTGTTTATTCCTTACTTGTGTAGACTCTCACTTTGAAATACAAATAACTAAGCAATTTAATTACTTCGTATTAATCATTAAAAACTGAGTAATCTCCCCCATAAATATTATATATTTAAGTGGAAGTACTTACACCATGGGCCTGTCCATTGGCGTATTGGTGGGCACCCATGTCCTCCTTGATTTCGCGATAGTCCCGGAAGACCACCGCCTTGATGACGCTGCGGATGAGCTCCTCGGGCCACATGCCCAGCAGGATCCTCTGGGGCCGACCCCTGGCCTTCGGTCGAGGATCGGCGCCGCCATCCAGCGAAGGACCCAGCATATTGTGCACCCGATTGGCATACAGGACGAAGGTGGGATAGGGGATGTCGAACTTGCGGGCCGCCTGGGAGAGGGAGAGTCCCTCCTTCAGGACACTGAAGATGGCCTCGGCCATGGCCTCCGGACGCCAGGACTTCAGAGGTCCCCGCTCGCGGAACCTCAGCTGCTGCACCAGGTTCTGCTGGTTGGTGTTCCAGCACTTCTGCCACATGGACTGCAACTGGTACTGGTAGCTGTCTGCTGGAAGGACACGTCACGCGGACACAATGAAAAGGCTGAAAGGGAATCGTTTTTAGCTGGAACTTACCCGCCACTGAAGCTGCTCCAGTTGCCGCAGCTGCGGCTCCCATCCAGCCACCATGTCCTCCACTCTCGATCATCTTGGCCTTTAAAAAAAAAAGGGGAAATAAATTCAAAGTTAGTTGAGTATTTTTGAAAGGTTTGCGAGATACAAATGTATATTATATAAATAGGTTTTTGTATGCATATTAAGCTAAGTACACGAAATACATTCCCCATCATAACCTTTTACATTTCCTACTTTCCGACTTTTAAATAATTAGAAAACTTAGCATACCAGGTACTCTCTCTCTCTTTGCCGGAAAACTCAAGCCAATCGCTAGTTTTTCCGCGGCTTAGTTTGGGCCCTGTGACATTTGCACACGAATTGTGGCTGGCCGTAAAAGTTTATGATTGCCATAAATGTTGTGAAGGCATTTTCGTATGCAAAGAGAGCCGAGGAGCCACCGAAAGCAAATTAGTATACAAAGTGGGGCTATCCCGGCCCCATTGTCTTGGCGGCTTTTTACGGCCCGGCTAAAGGCTGTGGCTTCGACTTCACCTAGCGGAATGTACAAAAAGCCATTTATTTATTGCTATTATTAGGAATTCAGGGGGAAGCGCTGTGCCGCTTAATTGAGCCCGCCTTTAACCCCTGGCGGCCGTATTAATCAGTTGCGCTGGCCGCGGCAAAAACCTGGCCATTTAGGGGTTAACCGGGAGCTGCGACTAAACTGAGACTGAAACGGAGAGGATCCCCATTTTTATTTTTCCTATTTTTTTTATTTTTTTTTCACTCCACGGAGGCATAGGAAAAGTTAAATTGATGCACGTTTCGTGCCATGGCCGAAACAGAGGCTCTGGCCATAAAGCCTTCCTTTTGGCCAGTTGGCCAGTTAGCCAGTGGCTGGCCACGCCCCCTCCGCGCACGTAGCCATGCATTTTATATGCAGGGGCGTAATACAAATTATGTGCAGCGAGCATGGGCCGCCAGAAAAAATCAGCAACAAAAACATACAACCTACAAAATACGAAACAAAGCGCTGAAAAAATGCAGCGCATAAAGAGAACATATAATGCAAGTCTTAAATATTTGAGGAGTAGGCGCCGAGAACCGGAGAACTCCACGCAGAGAAAAGCCAAGGAAAAGGGGCATAAAACGTATGAATAATTGAAATTGAAAAGTCGGAAGCATTTTTACATTTTTACAGGCCGTCGTAGTGGCTGTAACTGTAACAAATGCGGCCGGGCTGCAAACAAAATGGCGTTAAAAATGCTATTTTATGTAAAACACTTTGTTAATGACGCCAGAGTTTGTTGGTGGGCGCTGACTTACGGCAGGCAGTGTGGACACCTCAGTCGGTAGTAAATAATAAGGTTACTAGTTTGTAGCTAAAGTAGATTAACTGGGGGATTTAAGTTACTAATTACCACAGATTTGTCTTATTTACTACAAATGGTGTTTAAATACTCAGGCGAAATATTAATTATTATTGTTTCTAAAAACTGAGTAACTTATTCAATTTTTTTACACTAGTAATTTTCTTTTTGAAATAATTATGGGAACACATGTTTCAAATTCTTGACAAAGCAAAATAAATTTCAACATGAGACGGGATTATTAATTCAAGTCGCCATCGACAGTAAACTTAATTATAGAGTTGCACAAGTGTCTAATATTTTTTGCTCGCTGTAGAGGTCGTAAAATGTTCTTTTCTCTAGCATTTGTTGGAGATTAATCAACCCCCTGTCAGCCATTCATCCATTCGGAGAGGCGATTATAAAAGTCTCGCATAGTACAATTCATATAATAAAATATTACGAGCTCTGCTCGAAAATGTTTAATTAATTAAATTTTCAATTCCCCCTTAGCTGGCAACAACAAATGCCATTTCCTCCCAGCGAAGACCCCCTCAATCGCCCCCCTTGCCCCACGCCCCTGCCACGTTGCTCAACAAAAACAAATTTGAAGTGTGCGCGCATTCAACTTTCTTTCAACTCATTTAATTTAATTTGCGGCGCTTCGCTGCTGACGTCGCTGCTGCTGCTGCTGCTGCTTCTTCTTCTACCGCTTCTTCTGCTTCTTCTTCTTGCCAATTACTCATCGTGTGCACGCCCCATTCACATAATAATTTATTTAATTAACTTTTCCGCTGCTACAAATTTCTATAAAAATTTATTGATTTTTGTTTTCCCTGCGAAGAAAATATTTTTCGTAGCCAGGCCCTGGACTTTTTCAATACTTTTTTATTTGCACCCACACACACTTGGAGATCCGTTCACATACTATATATACGTATATGGATTTCTATAACTTTGTGTGTGTCTGTTGGCAATAAAATATAAATTTATAACACGCCCTCACACTCGCATTTGCCATCAATCCAAATGCATAGACTACCCCTTCCACGTCCCTGGCTTTCAACAGCCTTCAAGTTTTCACTACATCGCGGGTTAACCCCTCCCCCCCTCCCCCCTCCCCATCCCCTTTCAACCACCACCCCCCTTGGCTGTAATACCCCTTGGATTCTAATGCAATTTTAATTTTATTTTTCAAGCGCGCACATAAACTCAGTACTGCCCGTTTCCCTTTCCCCGCTGGAAAAGCACTAAAACTACACCATTTTCCCCACCACTCCCTGCATGTCCTTTATCCTTAACCCCTCCCGAAGCCCCAAAACCCCCTGCCTTCCTTAGAACTTTTGCTGTAGTTTTCTTCCTACCGTTTTTGCTGTGTATATTTCTTATATTATATAACACTTTATTTATTATTCATTTTCGATTCGTGTTCCACCGTGGTGGCGTCTCAAGTTTGTTATTTCTCTTGTCTGCAACTTGCTCACCACAAAACCCCTCCGATTTCCCACTCTTAGCCCACTGAACCACCACACCCCCCGCCGCCCACAAAAACCTTCCTTGTGCGTCACAACTAACAGGAACTTTGCGATTTCCTTGGCGCTTTCGTGGGGCAGCTTTTACTTTTGCTGGGCGCCTGTTCGCTTTTAGCCTTCACTATTACTACTGCCAACTAGTTTTCTCTCTCTAGCTCTCGCTTTTCCGCACTTCCGCGTTTCCGCTCTCTTTTCGGCAGCCAGAAACTCTCCCGTTCATTCATTTATTTGTATTACTCAGCCACGCATGCCGCCCACTTTTCCAACCACTTTGGCCCCATTTTCCGGCAACCTTGGCCACGTTGTCTCCTTAGGAAATAGCTACTTGTATTACTGCATGGCGAAAAATTGTCAACCAAAATGAGCAATTATTAGATTTAGAAATCTTGGGGAAAATTTTGAATTCTAACATTTTTTTTAACCTATTCTATTTGATATTTTTTGGATATATTTTATATTTTTACTATAATATGATTATAAGATTTTTCTCTGTGTGACCACACCTTCTCTTAAACAGTTGTGCCCGTGCTTTTCATTAATTTTCTAAGACGGCAGGAATAATTCATTTAAGAATGAAAACCCCGGTGACTACAATTATCGTATCGAGTCCAGAGGACTGACACTTTTCATTGGGGATACCGCGAATCGATTTGCATTTTTATAAATCCCATTCCCAGGCCCCCGAATTTCTAATGACCGGGCGGGCGGCAGGACACCCAGTTGCTCCTTCGCCTGCCCTTTTTCTTTGCCGCAAGACAAAAACGCCGACGTCGGCGGCAACTAAATATTTAATAGTATTTTATTGCACGAATTTCACATAAAATATGCATATTGGCCCAATGCATTATTCATGGGAATAATGTGAAAAACACATTTCGCGAGGCGCAGGCAGCAGGGAAAGCTACTACTGTTGTGTGTTGGGCGAGTATATAGATACTTCTTGGCTGCGATATCTGGTTTCTTTCTCCCCATATACATATATATATATACTTACATATATATATTTATATGGTGGTATCGGAATATAATGAAATGCAAGAGAGCTAAACAACAATAAACAATTGCACTGGTGGAAATGCTGTCCAAGGAATTGCAGGGGCCACAGCAACAGCAGCAATAATTGTAGCAATCATAAAGCCAAGTGCGAGTGCATGAAGCTCGCTCTCTACAACCGACAGCCGACAACCGACAAGCTGCCACCGCCGACCCCCCTGAAAGTTTTGTTTGCCACAAAAACAACAATAAAAATAACAGCAACAGCAACAACAACAACAGCACTACAAAAACTCACCTCACAACAATGGCAACAATAATTTAAATGTAATAAATAATTATACGCCAAGTGTTGAGTGCAACGTGCATTGAGGTGTGTCAAGTTGCCGACTAACCAGCAACTGCCAACTGGCAACAGCAACAACAACACCACTACCATCAACAGCAACAGTAACAACAACAACCACAAGAGCAACAGCAACATCAACCGCAGCCGACAACAGAAATTGCTATAAAACATTCAAATGGGCCGCCGACTTCTTTCAGACCCTCGAAAATACCGCGATCCGAGGCACCCCTTTCGGCGTGTCCACCCCTCCGCCACCCGCCCCTGACAACCCCCTTGCTGTGTGTGCCCTGTGCTGGTTTTATTTTATTGTTGACCCCTCCCAAAAGTTGTCTTGCTCGGCTGTCCTGCGAACTCGGACGCAACTTGGACTTTGGAAAAGGGCAATTCAAACTGAGATGACATCGTGACACGATCTATTTAACAAATTGTTTTTAAATGTATAAAAAAATAAATTATTATATTACAATAAGATATAAAAACCCTATATAATACCCCTATTTAACTTCCTTTTAATTTTATTTTATTTACTTATATATATAAAAATATATATCTCCATCTCTAAGGAGCCACACATTGTACGAGTTTTGCTGGCATTTCTACGGAGTTGGACCCCGGCTTTTATAGTATTTACTTCAGCTTTGGCCGACATTGTTATGGTTGTTGCAGTTGTCGGGCAATTGTAACTTCTGCTGTCGTTGCTCATGTAATTTCTGTTGGCTCGTAGTTGCAAAGTAAAAATTAACCTCTTGCAAATAGTAATTTATTGTTTTTAGCATAGGGGATAATGAGGATATACGGCCATCCCCGTTCGCCGGCGCTCCTCCGCTTTTTTTTCCCCCGAAGCCTGCGCATTGTTGGTTACTGTAATGACTTG